CCATTTCATTAAAAAAAAATAAAAACAAAACAAGAAAGAAAGAAAGTTGTAAACTATGAAATACAGATGGCGCTTTTCTTCGTGTTACCCAATTTTAGGCCGAAGATTGGTCTCTATTTCAGTATGTTACAAAGTACTCTGTGATAAAACCGAAAAGCCGTAAGCCGACCCGACGACAGCCGACAATTGATCATAGACACGCACCACAGGTTATTGAAAACAATTAATGCTCCCAGGGCTCAGGCTCCCAGAACAAAACTTTTCTAATTGAAAGTCAGGATTTAATCCAATGTTTCATGACCTAAACCCAGGCAAAAACCTATAATTTTTAAACTCAATAGGTTGATTTTAAGACTTTACACCCGACACCGACACTTTATAGGCCTGTACAATTTCGATAAGAATAGAATGGAATGTTAATGAGTTATGAATGACACAAAGGAAAGGATGTACGATAGAGGTAAGCTAGGTCTGAAGAATTGAACGTATGTAAATTTAAATTATTGCACTAACATTGCTATTTTATTTATATGGCAAACATAAATATAGATTCAATAAAAAAAACGGTAATATGGCTGCTGAAATTGACAGAAGTACTGTCAATACTGTCAATTAAAATGAACAGCTGTCCACTTTTTGAAAATATCTAATTTATTATGTGGCGTAATAAGGTTTAGTATTTAATGTTTATACCATTGCGAATCTTCAAATGTATGTAACATTTTCATATATATAAATTAGTGGTGCAGTGGTCTGGGCAAGTATGTCGCTTCCTCCTCTTGTTTGCAACACTCCTCCACCACCCGATCAGTGTGAAGATGACAAAGACCCTGAAGATTTTGATATGAATTACAATTGTAAGTATAAACATTAGCAAACTTATGACTATTATGCGTCTTGTTCATCGGTTATACCATATGTGTAAGTGTGAATGTCATGAACTAATATGTGTCAATCTTTTACATTTTCCTTAATCTTTTAGGCTGCATTGTTTGGTAAGCCTTTTTCATTACGTGGATTTGATAAGGTTAAAATTATTGTAAGAAGTAAATATTTAAAATGTAACCAAGACCTTGATTTTGTTTACAGTAGGGAATGAACATTTACCATTTATTGTTTTTATTTTAGTATCACAGGATGATGATGAAGATAGTAATAGTTATGATTATCAAACATATTCAAATTATAATATGTATGATACAAATAAGCCAGTAAATATTGAAGACAGTGCCTGGTCTATAAATATTGCTAATAATTTGAATAGTGTCTTAACAGAACAGATTTCTACAGTGGAAGATAAAAAGACTGAGCACATAACACCTATCATAAATGATTTAAATGATAAATTAACTTTGGAAGATGTTGCTGTTGAAGATTTGAATTTAGAAATAAGTCAAGAACAACTAAATCCTCAAATCATTAATGAAAATAGTGATGCTGATAGCAGTGATTATAATTATTCACCAGATGAAAAAGTTTCCGGTGAAAAATCAATTACCAATTGTGATATTGTTGAAACAGATATTGTAATAATACAAAGTGACAATATTTGTACAACAGAAACACCAGAAAACTCTTCAGCTAATGATGTTGAAGATTCAGAACAAATGTCTAAAACATATGACCTACGGGATGATGAGTTTAATGATTTTCACTCAAATTTGGATGCAAAGAGTAAAGAAGCAGAGGTTCAAATTCAATCAGAAAATGAACTCAATATAGAAAATGAAATAGAAAACTTAGAAGGGAATGTAGCAGTTGATGATTTTGGTGATTTTGATGAATTCCAGTTTGCTAACAATGACAATGTTTCAACTGTTGTTGAAAATGTTGAAAATCCATGGACAAATGAAACTCCAAGCAATGATTTTGGTGACTTCAAAGCAAACTTTGATGATAATCATGAAGTTTTACATGTAGATGATAAAAATTTAGATGTTATCAATGATCACAAAGATATTTGTGTAACCAATGAAATTAATGATGATGGTGATGATTTTGGAGATTTCGATGATTTTAAATCCTGTACAAAATCTGCTGTGAAAGATGATTCTGATACTCAAATAGATCAACATGTACCTGTAATAGATTTCCATTCATCTGAAAACGAAAATCAAGTATTAGAAAGTATTAACAATATTTTTTCTACAATATTCGAAGAAGAGATATCAGAACCTGAATCTGAGTTTATTGGAAGATTAGAATCAGTTCTTAATGAGACTTGGGGCCATTTAGTTGACACAGATGTAAGGCAACCCTATATGGTGAATTGGAATAATTCATTAGGACAGAAAAGTCTGCTGAAAGCGCTTTGTATAGATTCAAGAAATATCGTAAGTCTTTTCCTTAATGAGAACTTAGGTTTTACTTTACTTTTATAATAATCAACTGTTTATTTTACAGTTATTTGGACCTAAATGGAATTACAATATGCCAAAATATGCAGTTAATCTGAGTGCGGCACCCCTTCAGCCACAGAAGCAAGTGTCAACTTTACCTAATGTGGAAAATCCTTCTGAAAAATCTATAAATAAAGAAAGTGATACTTGGGTGGACCCTTTCTCATCAAATGGACAAGAATGTAAGTTTATTGTTTTATAATACAAATGTGATATATAGAAAGCAATTGTAGATTGCCTATTTATTGCTAGATTTAACAAAATGAGATTGAAATAATATGTTTGAGGTAAGATGTGAGAGTAAATTTATAAATGTTTGAAAGTAATAAAAATTAAAATCTTTAATTAATATGTAAAAGTATAACACATTTAATTAATATGAATAAGCTTAGTTACTTTTACAAAAGTGAAAGTAACATATTTATGTGCTAGTGACATTTTCTTGTGTTACTAAAATGATTTAAAATTTGTTAAATTCATGTATATTGATAGATTGAATTTAGGATATTAGCTATTTAAAGTAAAAGGTTTATTATACAGGTAATATCACAGGCACAAGCTAGAAAATTTGCCTTAATGATCCAAGAAATATTTCGTGACTAACATATCAAGCTTTTTAATATTCACCACTGTAAAATTTCTTTGCATGTCTTGCACATGGACTAACATCATCCACTTTACATTATCTGCTTGATCCAACATCCCACCCAAAGTCACATACGCTGAGACCCTCCTACTAGACCTTGAACACCTAATGGCTACCTTAGATCAAATGGCTCACAAACATTCCACACTCAAAATTTCAGAATTACTCTCACATGGTAAGTCACCTAATTTTAAATGATATAGATTAAGTAAACCAATCCGCACCAAACCAGTAAATATTGACCAATCTGCGCCAGATCAGTGTGGACCGATCTGCACCGGGTTGATGCATACTGAGCCAGTTTCTGACTAAGGTCTTCTTACTCCAACATAGAGTAAGCTCGCGCCTTCAGTAGGGTTGTATATAAGCATACTATGTAGTTGAAAATAAGGTATGCAATGTGTAATGGGTACTAAAATAGAAACACGATCTGAAATTACATGCAATTTTTTTTTACTAAATAATGAAAATTGCTTTTCTTTGTTTGTTTGTTATCACACATCCCTTCTTCTTATTCATTGAATTAATTAAAAATAATACACCATGAACTATTTTAGGTGTACTTGAAAATTAGATATAATTTATTTTCTTATTTTGTTTGAAACAACCATGTATGTAAATTATATAATTAAGATTCAACATATGAAATGGAAATAAAAATGTACCATTGTCTCTGCTTTTAACGTGCGAATATTTTTAAATTAGACAATGCAAATTTTGAATGTTTCATGTTGCGGATTTAGGTTCAATAATTTAAGAATGAATAGCAAGAAATAAAAACATTGATATATTTGCAAGTTAAGTTTTTAATATAAGTTTTGTCATGAAATTCTAACGATATTAAAATGTTCGTGATATATTTATATGAGATTCACAAAAGATTTTTTTTTAGCTTGCAACAACACTGAAAACGATGTCTCGACTACGGAAACAACTACAACTGATTTGGAAGTTTTTGAAAAAGTCATGTCTGCGAAACTGGATAAAGTGTATCCAACATCATTAAATGTTCAGCCTTTACGTCAAATCAGTTTACCAGATACACATATATTCACACCATCGGACTCGGAAACACCGAGATCCAAAACTATACACTACGATACTGTCGCACCAGTTTTATTAAATCAGCCTGTCACCAATGTGTCTCCATCAGTAATCACAGCTGATGAAACCTCTCCTAAATTAGAAGACGACGATTATTGGGAATTTCAGGATTTCAAAAGTACAACAGAAAATGTTCAACCACCAAAAGAAGATTCCAATTCTAATACAGTGTCAGATGAAAGTAATGCAGGGAATTCTAAAAATTTAATACCAACTGGTGCCTCTTATCAACCGCAATTATTACAGCCTATAAAACTCGAGCCACTCGTGCCTACATTAAATTGGCCGGACCCTGGTGAAGTTAAAGAAACGTTTGACGATTTCTCAGATTTCGTTTCCAATGCAACGTGGGAAAGTGACAAAAATAATACACCAATAATAAAAGAAAACAAATCTGAAGAAAAACCAATAGTTTTAAATAAACAAAATGATTCGTCCTTTATAGAAACAAACTCTAATTTAGAGGTCAATGATGATGAATTTGAAACATTTCAATCCGCACCGACTGTGCCTCAAAGTGTTAATTCGAAACCTTTCGAAGATAGTAGCCAAATAACATATCAAGCATCTTCTAGCAAATCAAATTTTGATAACGCCTTTTCTGATTTCGGTAAAATTAATCAAAACGAAATAACAAAGCCACATGATGTGTTTGTTAAGAACGTCCCACATTTTCCGACTGAAAATTATAATAACAGCATGTTAAACGTACGGGACAGTTTTGTCAATAATTCACCTATACATTCCGTGGATACGCCGAATATTTTACAACCTGTACCGGCTACAAGCAGTTCACGAAACAATACAGCTCAGATTTTACAACCTCTATCATTGGAGAGTTACTCACAAATCAATTGGCCTAATCCTGGAATAGATTTACAGGATTTATCACGATTTAATCCAGTGGAAACCGTTCCGTCTTTGAAAAGTGATATAAGTTCCAACAGTCAAAGTAAAGTTAATTCACCAGCTCATACCGATAAGAACTCAGTTCGTAATGAAGTGTTAGACGATGATATTTGGGGGGAATTCGTATCCAGTAAGCCTAAACCATCGACAAAGAAACCACCGATCTTCGGCGACGAAGAAGAATGGACGGAGTTTGTTTCTAGTACTAGTATCAAACCTCAAAATGGATTAAATACGATAAGTTTAAACGTTCACACGAATCTGAGCTTACAGAAATCATCGAATTTGAATAAATTAAATGTAAAAAACAATCAAATATCTCTAGACATTCCAACATTAAATTATATAACACCTAAATCGAGTCGTAAGACTTACAATGATAAACATTTCCAAAATTTATAACGCCAACATATACATAAAATCTTTAAATATGTACTTAATTAGAAATGTAATAAGTATTATGTAAATAGGGTGGTGGTTTTAGATTGTAATATTTATATTGTTATATAAAATGAATCCAGGTATATAATGTATCAATATTTATAAAACATAGGATATTATGTAAGGTAAATAGCTCTAATAGGATTCAAGATGCGAATATAATAGAAAGAAAATGTAGTTATAGCAGATGCGTTTTTGAATTTATATGGAATTCAACTTTTTACTGTTTTATTAGCATTTAAATGTAGCAAATTTATATTTTGTTGGATTTTTAAAATAACTAAAATTGGTGTAAGTAAATAAAAAAATGAATTGCGTTTATTATATTTTAAATCTAATGTTTTCCAGTACATAAAGTAATAACGAAATTCTTTTAAATCTAAATTATAACAATTAATAATGTTCACCCTGTATAGTACAAAAACGCATCAACTATTAAAAGTGTAAAGAAGTCGAGGTATATTGACAGTGCTGTACTGCTATTTGGTAAAAGCAATATAAATATATTTGGTAAATTACGAATTGTTTGTATATAGGGTGTTTAACGATATTGTAAAAAAATGTATAAAAGTGTAGGATAAATTATCATCACAATTTTCAGATGGTTAAATAAAACTTCACCCGTTACCATGTCTTATCCTCGTGTATAAAAATATTTATTAAATGGAATAAATTTCACATATCCTTATCCGAAAATCATATATGAAGTTAATCTTTTTCATTAATTTTTAATTTACTGTCTGACACACCTGTAAAGTGGTCCAAGTGTAATTATTATTGAAATTTCGTATATCAAAGTATTAAATTTATAACTTCAATGCACTAATATAAAACCCTTCTAGGGTTAGTTATTATAAAATCGATCAATAAATCATATGAATACATTTTTTTTTTATTTATTTAATTTTAACCAGATATCACTTGTCAAATAAAAGGACAAATGTGATCAGATATGAAATTTATTGATTTAAAACTTCAAAACGACAAAAGGAAGAATTTTATTTTAAATGTATCTGCTTGTGCCTGTAATTATATATTTATTACAATAGATTGCAATATATAGTGTTTGGTTAACTGCACATTCAGATTTTTTTAATTTGGTTAAAAGAAATAAACATGTTGCATAATTGAGAGGTTTTTATTTTTCATTTTCTTCAGTTTCACCATCCGACTCTTCAATATCATCTATATGAGTGTTCAGTCTTCTCTTATCGTCATCCTCTATTTGCGAAATAGACTTTGGTAAGTTACTTTCCATTGTCACTCGGAACGGACATTGTTCAAATTCTGGCCATGATATAAATCTGACAAAAAAAACATACAATTTACTTTCCATAATCAAACTATTTAGTAATTACATTATTTTAACCAGAATTACATCGTTTTATAAAAGTAAAAGACTAAAGATACTTAATCTTATTAATTTTACAAATGCAACTTTAAAGATGGATGGATGGATGAACATTTCTTACTAATAGATGAAATTTAAACATAATATGGGAGAATCAGTAAGTTTTCTTTTTTTATTCAATAAAAAACGCTCGTTAGAAATATTTTAAAGTACATAATTTTTTGGCAAACTACAACTAAAACAATATATAATAATACCTCTTGAAGACAGTAATTTTCTGTTTCAAATTGAGATCACCAAATTCGGTAAATATTGTCATATGTGGTAGTGGGGCATCCTCACTAGTTGGACATAACAGTTTATTGGAATCCGGAGGATCTTGTCCTGTGATCAACCAAACTCCACAACCAGGAATCCATTGTCTTAAAAAGTAAAATAGAATAAAAAAAAATGCTCTTAAAACATGTATGTGATATTGGAATGTAAATTGTTACTATGAAAGTGAACTTATAGAATTATAAAAAAAAACTCAAATCTTACTCTAACATAGGTATAACTTTAGTTGTTTTTGAACATATATGTGGCTTTAAAAAATACCATAAAAGTGGTAAGTAATCTGCAGGACAAGGTAACTTCTCCTTCTGAGTGATGTTGACCAAGCACAAACTGTACTCATCCATCTGTAAAGTAATATAATTTTATTAATTGCATGATAACATTTCATACAAAAATCATAATGTATAGAACCAATAGAAAAGTGAAACACCAGTTTTCTTACAAAAGAATTATTGTTTAAGTAATATCACTAAATCTTTTGTCATGGAAATAAGTTATAACATTATGAAATGGATTTTAAGGGCCTGCCCAACAAATTGTAAATTGTCTGATAACAATCCAACATGTAAAATATGAGATTTTGTTCCCTTATCTGACAGGGATGCCATTTTTAAACTATCTGAGCCTCTATCAGCCAGTGGTGGGACAGGTTCTTAATATTTTTAAAATACATTATACATACCATTAAAGCTTTTTTTCCACTGGGTGGATAAGTCCAAGGTAAATAGTGTACTTTAGGCACATTTATTAAAACCTTACAATCGAAAAATGATTGAAATAATGCCGGTATTGTTTTGAATTTCCCTTCTTGTATATCAATATCTGTAAGATACTGAACATTTTAGTCAGAACTTGTTCAAGATATTTATAATATTCTTTTATTCACCAACTTACTCTATAGTGATGTGCTGGCATTGTTATGAACAGGTCAGTCCTGCCAAGCAGGTCTGTATCATTGTTGAATACTATATTGTAAATAAGATGTTTTACAAAGTTTAAACCTGGCATCGCACCAACAATCTTTATGATCCTATCTGAAATAAATAAATAAAGCTATAATTTCTGATCCGCAGTATATTTTGGGCTATAGTAAGCAAGATTTTAATTATGGCTCTTTTTTGATAACATTGATATTATTTCGAAAATCAATAAATTACATCAAACAGCACTTTAAGTTATTAAATTGTTACTTTTTTTATAATATCTATCAATACAGATATATTTTGATAAACATGTTATTAAATTTTCTTACTTTTATCATTAGATGCAAGATCACCCAATAATTCTGTAAGTCGGTTTCCTCCATCCATCTTATCCTGAAATGCTAACTTCCACATTCCAAAGAAATCTGCCACTTTGTATGTAAGTCTTTTACTTTTTTCATTTCGCAATGCCTGTAAAATTTTTGTATTTATTTTGAATAAAGAGAAATAGCAAATCGAAATTTGTAATAAAATAAATAACAGACAAAATTTTAATTGGAATATATATTAAGCATACTAACTTCTAAATGTGGGGAAAAGTGACTTGAAGTTTCATACAGATAAATGTGGTTTTTTGTACATTGCAATAATTCTTTACTTAGGTAACCTAAGCCGGGATTCACTTCAACTACCGGTGATTCTTCGTTTACATGGTTTCTTATAGTTTCTGCTATTTCTCTTGCAGTTTTTGTATTTATTAAATACATACTTTCTGGCGTTTTGTATTTCCTTAACAGAGATCTAGGTAGCTTTTCAATTATTTTACTGTAATCTGTGTCATTTTCTAAGTATTTCAAAACATCTGTAGCTAGTTTAGGTTGCTTTTCCAATTTTTCTTTACCTGTTGAATAGCATAACCTCAAACTACGAACAATTAAATTGTGTTGAGTTTTAAATCTTTTCAAACAACCCATTCTAGATCTAAGGGTAATAATATTACTAGATAGAAAACGTTTGGTGCACTATCTTGCTAAACCTTAAAAAATAAATAAAATAGGCTTTTGAAAACCCAAATAACATATCTTTTAGACAGATGACAGATGACAGTTGACAATGACATACGACAAGTAACTAGGGATGCATGTTTCAATTTCAACGAACTAGTTGAATAAACCACCGATTCAACTTTTCAACTTTCTTGTTTTATTAGACCTCTTGAATTTTACGCAAGAATACGTAGAAGTTATTGTTGCTTTTTCGCCGCCAGTTTCGGAGTCTTATATTAAATGTATAATTAACTACTCAACTATATAGAAATAAAAATTAGTTGAATAAATCAAGTAACCCACATCTTGGTACTGACTCATTGTGGTAAAGGCGATGCAAAATTATTAAGTAAGGAAAATCATTGAGATGATGAGAATAATTAGACGCCTTTAAGCCTTTAACAGTACTAGATCTTAAAAGAAATGTTAGAAATACGCTAGAGGTATTTGTATCCAAATTTTATAGCTATAAAAATAACATCTGGTATTTTGGAAAACTTTTTTGCTAATGCAAAGCAAACTATCTGCCATATAGCAATTAGTTACTCGAATAATATGTTAAGAAAAAAAACTATCAAAAGTTGATCATTATTACCTCGTTTTACTAAGAAAGTAAATCCGATTCTAAGCCAAGTTGAAATTTGTATTTTTGGTATTTCCAGTAACCAAAAATCAGATAGTAATCAGTTCTCCATACTTTAATTGCTGATAGCAAATTATTTGATTTAAAATCGGTTGTGATAAAATCTTATCGTGCTATAAAATCTTTAGTATCCAGGTGTTAAAAGTAGATAAATAATTCGGTTATGATTAATTCATTCAACTACAGTAGGTAAACCTCACCGGAGATCTATTAGATAGATTAACAGCAATAATATGTTTGTTGGTGGCTCCTAGGCGAATAATAACATTTGCACAGTTAAAGACTTTTCGCTAATAGTATTACAAAATATCTTAAACGAAGTAAAAATGTTTTTTGATAAATCATGATATTGGCGCATTCGACATTTCTGCACAGTATTATCAAGTAGATTTGTTATGCAACAATATTATGTTACTTGGTAAATGGTAAAATGTTGCATATTTTGTTCTTGATATGTAAAAGTAAATTCATTAATAACAAGATAAGCTATGCTGGTAATCACATCACGATCAAATAAATGCAATCATAATTACTTGCCTTCATTATTCATATTGTTATCTGAGTCGATACGCGATCGCTACCTTTTCGCCTCTTTGTTAAAAATCCAGTATTATTGAACTTTATTGTTGGTTGTAAACGGATACAAATGTTTTTATTGTTACTGCAATATTTTTTTGTTACCGTCACAGCGTCCGTGATATTTGAGGACTGCGGTAAGTTGTTTGGACCTAAATATGTACTAACGTGTCTGCGTCGCCACCGGAAATAATCTTTGAACCGTTTATTTCAAATACCACTTCCTATAGCGAACATGTTTGGGTTCGATAATATTTTTCTTATTATAAGTACGATGTTTGTTGAGTAAATAAAAACATGATAAACATAAATAAAAACATTACAATAAGTTAAGGCCAAATAAGGTATGGATTTTGTTGATAAAAAATTAGGTCAATAAAAGTCCTTCTTATATGTGTTCATAGGCCAGGGGTGGAACGATATAAAAACCTCGACTGATGACTTAGTAAAATTTTCACGTAAATTCGCAGTCATTCTGCACTAAATATAATTAAGGTTTCCGGGATTCGAATTCAAAATCCCCATGTTTGTATTTATAAAAAAAAAACGTTTATGTTGTAACAACTATTTCCCTCTCGGATAAGAAAAAATTGTTTACACAACACTAAATATAGGCTAGCGTCTTTATTTTCATCGGAACATGAATTTGTATCTTTGTCTAAGCAAGTATTTTGTCGTTTTGGCTGTCATTAAAAAAAATGACAATGATTGATACAAAATCTATTTTAGGCGTAGGTGCATTTCATTATTATGTGTTTCCTTTGAATGGTTATTTCATTACTTGAATATATATGTAAAATTGATATCTTTGGTCTATTTAATGATTTCCTGTGCGACTCACCAAACCAAAGTCCATCACAATAATAGCATGCGTTAACAGATCTGCATTAGAATTCCAAACAGTATGTCTTCGATAGGAAGGCAGTTATAGTGAATGTAATATGAATGCCGTATGTATATATACATTACAAATACACATGACTAAGATATAAAGTACCTATTTCATTCCGTTATCGGTATTTACGCATATGTAAATGTATGCTTAAATTACACAAATTCAATCAAATATCAACGTTATAACGCATTTTCATCTCATGTACAAAACTACGAACGAAACAAGACAAGAATGAAACCACAACTAATTAAATTTTCATAATTTAATTATAATTATCAAATAAAATGAGATAAGAATATAATTTTAGATTGATAATAGAACAAAGCAATACAGTCTTGATATAATCTGTAATTTCTAATTTAAACATTTTTATCATGCTATTTTTAATTTGTAAACTGGTTTATACATATATTATAGTACTGCACAAACGTGATTATAAGATTAGCAATCAAAGTGGATTACGTTTTATTACTCTTTTATTGTGCTCGTATTTAAACATTATCGTTATAATACGGTTAAATGTAGAAATCTAGTTTATTTATAAAGAGTAAAAATCGACAACTTAAAAATAGGTGTCATTTAATATCGTTACTTTTTAAAATCCTTAACTAATCAATCGGACTGTTACAATTAAATCGCACGCACATATAGCATTGTCTATGTTTGGATTTGAATGATAAAAGGGAGTAATTTTGAGGTTAGATACGAAGATGAATTCACATTCTGCTGGTACTGAATTTAAATGTATGATTTCTAGTAAATGAGACATTCAAATTATTGTATTACTTACGTAGAGAAAAGGATTTAAAATGAAGGATTAAGCGATTAATAAATCTGTTTTGTTTATCAATTGATATGATTCACGTAATATTAACCTTTCATATGATTACCTCCAACATCACATTTCGAATAGATAAGATTGTGTAATTGACGTCATCTAAATGACGTTTGACCGCTACGGATAATTAAAAAAATACATATTTAGGGTCGGCGTACGAGTTACACGAAGTGAAAATAAATGGATGCGGTAGACGACTCCCATGCTACATCACTCTCGGGGATCATGTTCCCGTTACAATGCATTTTGTTTCTGGTAAGTTTTTTAATGGATGCGGCAAGCTAGTCAAATAATTAAATCTATAATAAGAATTGCTGTTAATATGTTGCCTACTGTTAGAGAAAAAGGATTTATTATAACTGCCTTTTTTTTTGATGGTGCAGTCTATTTAATGACCAGACCAGCTCGAGTCTGTCGAGTCTCCGTGAAGTTAAAAAAAATGAAAACATGGCCTACGTTATTCACAGATAACTTAGCTTTTTAATGGTGAAGGAATTTTTAAAATCGGCCCTGTAGTTTTTGAATTATTCCAATACATACAAAAAATAAATCTTTCCTCTTTATTAGTATAGATTATGCCATATCTAAAATTTGCCAATATCCATTAACAATTTTGTCCTTATGTTCCAGAGTTCGAGTCCCGTAAGCTGGATCAAGATGTATTTTTAAACATTAACTTTATAACTCTAAGAACTTACGCTACACCAGGTATGATTTGAAAGATAAAGAAACATATATCATACAGAAATCCTAATGCCCGTTACAGACAAACAAAGCTTCTAATATCATGTTTATAAAAAAAACATATTAATAACCAATTAAATGATGAAGTCTTAATTTATTTTAAACTGGTTTAGGCCATGTCATATTCCTACAGATTTCAAATATCTTTGAGTAGGAAGTTTCATTTCAAGGCCGCCATAGATTTCTTACTTTATAAATAATAAATTATAAAACAAACAGCTTCCTACCCATAATTAAATTGACAATAATATAAAAACACAATTATTGTAATTTATATCAAAACTACCGTTAGCCTGCGACTCCGTTTGAGAGGAATTAAAAAAATAGAACAAATTTAATTAGCCTTTCTGTTCTTCCAGACTATGTTCTACATCTTTGCCAAATTTTATCGAGATCAGTTCAGCAGTTTAGGTTACAAACTCTAACAAACATCCATCCATCCATCTAAACTTTCGAGTTTCTTATATTAGTAAGACCTTGACGTCATTATAGAAAGTAGCACAGTAATTTAAAAGCATCTTCAATATAGCACGGGGGTAACTAATTAGGTTATATTTTCAGAGCCGTGTGCAACAGTTCATTGCCCAGTAAGGTCTGATGCCGTGACGTCATACACCAGTGTGATGACAGTGCCGACTAATGTCGCTGTGGTAAATACAAAATACTAGCAACAGCTTATTCTTAGTTAAGGAAACTCCATCTTGCTTGAGAAACGAGACGCAGAATACATTACAAAAAAATGTTTTAAACAGATGGTTCAAGGGATAAAAAAACTGACTTTCGCACGCGAGTGATTAATACAGTTAGACAGTCTTCGGTGCAGATTTTGTATATCTTAGTCTGGTAGTATTTCATCGGTCCAGCTTGTCCTTTTTTATATTAAAAGGTGGCAATCTGGCAATCGGCCATCTGTGTCCGTCGAAATGGCAAACCGACCGCTGCCCATAGACATTCGCAATTGCAGATGCGCTGCATACCCTTAATCGACGGAGAAGGAGACGCACATAAAGAGGATATTTCCCCTACCTATGCGTCTCCTCCGTCGTCAAATCCACTTTTCCTTCCAATCCCTTCCTCCTAAGGGTGGAGAGGAAAAAGGTCTAAAATTATGCCTAGGACACCACACTCATCAGACGAAACGCGGAATTGCTCCAACTTCACGCCTGTCTTCTGTGTGGTCGTGGTATTACGCCGGGCGAGCCGACCTTTCATGCGGAGATGTTATAGCGGGCTTTACCATGAAGCAATAAACGTTGCGTCTAACAAAACATAACAGTATAGTTATAATATTGTAACTAATAATAATATTTCAGAACCAGCGAGGATTCCTGCAGTGGAAGGTGTATAATGATGAAGATAGATTAGTTTTGTGCTATTCAGTATTAGTACAAACACAAACTCCCTTACAAAAATATCTTCGCACTTTCAATATTGAATCGAGAGATAATATTTCTTACCAGAAAATCAACAATGTTATTAGAAATAATTGGAATGTAACACAAATATGATATGCAAAAAAAAACTTAGCAGATCTCATTATAAAAATGTCTCATATTAACAATTTATTGTATGAAAATTTTATATTAACATTTTGAGGATTTTATTTTTGGAACGACTCGACCATATAATAATATGTATACGTGAAAAAAAATTATAGCGTAGATCTGGGTATTTAATTTTGTAGAGGAATATCCATTAATTTATGTTTTATTTATAAATCTGTTTTTTTTTTTGATAAATTGTAAATAAACTATAAGTTTGCTATTTGTTTTTTTTTATATTTCGAGACAACAACGATTGACACAAATATTCTTGGCCTGAACTCAATCGTAAAGCTTGCTATTTTCTTATTGTAGGCACTTTATGCAACTTCAATAAACAGAAACTACCTACATTACAATTCTAATTGCGTCGTAGGTACACCGCTTTTACAATTATTAGCGCGACAATACAGTGCTCTGTCTTAAAATGTGGTTAACGTAAAAAAATAACAAAAGTCAATCGATTATCGACTACAAATGACTAAGATTAAGTTGAGTGTGTGCGGAAGAAAACGTGTACATGTTTAAAACCCGTATAAGTAGTTGAACATCGTTCGATCCAGAACGTGAGCAACACACTGAATTGAGCACAAAATACTCCTCCTCTTAGCGGAGCTGTCATTCAACACCATGATACTATCGAGTGTGGTCGTGTTCGCCGCGCTGGCCCTTGCCGCCGCCACTGAAGTGCAACAATGCTCCGGTGAGTACGCCTTACGTAACACCTTAACCCGCTTTCAACTTCATTTGGCATCGACGATGTATTTTATAGACAATTCCTCTATAGTGGTTTATTCAATATTATTATCTTTTCTTTTTATTCCTGAGCCATGTGTTTATTTACATTTATTTATGCCGACACCTTATAAAAATTACGACACAAATTTTAGTAACAAAAAACATTGTAAAGTTCCAATCAGATTAGGAAACTATTGTATAAACACATATAACATTTTTGTATTGTATTATTGTTAATAATTATCATTGTACTCCATATAAAAGTTATGAACAATTTTATAAATATTGCACTTTCCAAACTTATACATAATGATATAAAAGTTAGGTTTCGTAAAGATCATAAATTACTGTCTCTTTCAGATAGTCATGATATATCGATTGAAATAATTATTTCTTCAAGAAATAATAATTATTTCTTGGTTAATGTTTCTAAAAAAAGAGAAACATGAAAGTGTTGTAGTGAAATTACAGTAAATATGCATATTTTAAAAAGAAGTGAAATTATTATAAAAGTTCGTAATAAAACCTTTCATAAACGTCGTTTATGAGAAACCTAGATGTAAGGTAAGCAAGGAATTACATTTCCTACATCTAGACATACTAGGTCATAGTAAAGGTCTACAATGTCTGTAAATTCAAGTTCATTAATAGCATTTTTAATCAATGTTTTCTCGGAGGTAAAATCTTTGTAACATATAGATAACATATAGGTATTACAAAAAAAAATAGAAAATTTATGGTAAAAATTGATTTTATACAAGTTACACGCATTTAAGTAATACGGGAAACAAAACACACATAGATTTTTTTTTATTTACATAAGGTGGCAAACCCTTACACGAGGGAGGAGGAGACGCACATAAAGAGGATATTTTCTCTCCCTATGCATCTCCTCCATTGTCAAATCTAGTTCCCCTTCCCAACCTCTCCTAATAAGAAAAGGGTGGTATAGAGAAAGGGACTTAAATTAGGCCTCCGGCATCACACTCATCAGACGAAACACGGAATTGCTTCCATTTCACGCCTGTCGTCTGTGTGGTCGTGGTATTACACCGGGTGTGCCGGCCCATTCGTACTAAGATGTTAAAGCAGGCACTACCACTGTTCGATAAAACTTCCTTCTTATTAATATTATAGATGCAAAAGTTTAGATGGATGTATGTTTGTTAGAGTTTGTAGCCTTAACGGCTGAACGGATGTCGATGAAATTTGACATGGATGTAGAGGATAGTCTGCAAGAACACATAGGCTATTTAATTTTGTTTTGTTTTTAATTTCGCGCGGACGGAGTAGCCTGGGAAAGCTAGTAAAGTAAATGTTCTTGTTATTAGTACTTGCTTGTGTTTAATTAATTAAATAACAAAGTATCGCACAGATGTTCATTTTGTAATACCGATCAAATCAATTATAAACAGTGAGACTCATAATGGTATAACGATTATATCTCTGGCTTAGATAACGCTTATATTATCTTACTTAATACTTAATTTTAGTAAGATACTAAAATTATAAATGCGAAAGTTTAGATGGATGGACGGATAGTTGTTTGTTAGAGTTTAGCGCATAAACGGCTGAACGGATTTCAACGGTCGAACGGATGAAATTTAGTATAGATGTATAGGATAGTCTGCATAAACACATAGGCTACTCACTTTTGTTTTTTTTTTAAATCCACGCGGAATGTCGCGTGCGAAAGCTAATACTCTATATTTATTTTTACTATTATGTTTTATGTCAAAGTCATGCGTATGCGTACGTATTATATAAAATTCTTAAGTCAATAGCTCTTATTGTTTATATTTATAGACCTATCCTATTTTCATTAATAAATCGATTGTGAAGTAACATCAAAAAAGCTTAATAGCGTATTGTAAAATTTTACAATAGACAGTACGTTTTGTATTTCAATAATGTTATGATCACTAATTTAGATAATCACGTAAAAAAAATGTTTTATTTATAGCGCACAGAAGATAATTACTCTTATTGCTTAGTATCATTTAAACTATTTTAGACGTTATGCCTCCTGGACATACTAGCCCGCTCCATTTGCTCTATTCCTTAAGCTTGCTTAGATTTCCACTTTCTGTGCAGGTCGTAAAAGTCGTACCTTAATTATAAATAAGATGACAACAACCAAAATCTCATTAGATGTCAAATGCAAAAACAATATTGATAAATGATAGCATTTTATTAATACAATTAAATAATACATAGTAAATTTATATTGATTTAATTAAAAAGTATTGTTAAATGCTGTTATAAATAGTAATTATCTGAATTAACTTAGACTTTAGGCAGTAGCGTGTTTTATCTTATTGTGTAAAGCGTATTTTAATCAGTCAATACTTAACGTTGGATTTATTTAATCCATTAAATACGAAGAGATATTGCAAGGTGCAATGACCCTTACTAAAAGCTGCGTGGCTAGTTCTAGTCGTTTCATTAACCCTTTTGAAAAGTCGACCTGGTAGTTAAATGTTTATGGCCACTTATACTTTTACTGGTCTAAGCGAGATGTTCTCGTTATTAACTTGCCTGAAGGCATGTAAAAACTTATCCATTCTTAGGTTACTGGTTAATAAACTTCCCTCAATACATTGGATCCTGGATACGCCAATGAAATCTTACTAATATTATTAATGCGAAAGTTTAGATGGATGGATGGATGTTTGTTAGAGTTTGCAGCCTAAACTGCTAAACAGATTCAATAAAATTTGGCATAGATATAGAGGGTAGTCTAGAAGAACACATAGGCTACTCACTGTTGTTTTTTTTTTAATTTCCACGCGGACGGGGTCGCGGGCGTAAGCTAATTTAAAATAAAAATTAATCTAAATATATATTAGTTTTAAAAAATAGAAGCCAAATTATGTGACATTGAAAAAGCCAAGCCGATTATAATTTTATATAGGTAGGTACGCCAATGACGACGTATCATCAGTTTTTAAGTACAGTCGCAGAAACCCGCGGTGTATCACTTTGGAAAAGCGTTGTTAATTGCAAAGAGGCAAACTCCGCCTCTTTTTATAAATAACTATTAAGGGATAAAAAAAATATATCACTAACTGACTTATTTCGTACAGATACATTTATTTACTCCGTTGTATTGGTTTTTGTTCAACGTCTCCTTTCAAAATGTTTAAACGATTATAGGTTTTAAGCTGGAACACCGCAATTTTCCCCGAGTATACCTACTCATTTTAAAGTGGTCAGTCTGCGTTTTGCACTGCATTGTGAATATCACTAATGAATTACAGTTATTAAAAAATTTTGCACGTAACAAATATAACAACAGTGCAAAAGCTACGTAAATACTTAATTAATGTAAAAATGTAAAATAAAAATTCATAGCAGAAGTTTTCCGTCAAAAACCAGAAAAAAAACCCTTGTTTTTAATAATGATGAATTTTTTGTTTTTTTTTTATTTATTTGCAAATTACGTTTAAATCAAATACTTATTTATGTTTAATAACATTTAATTTTCCACTAAACTTCTTACTGTGACTAGCTTAACTCTTTATTTATTAACTAGCTTTCGCCAGCGACTCCGTCCACGTGGAATTAATCTTCCTTTGTGTTCTTCCAGACTATCCTCTACATCCATACCAAATTTCAGCGAAATCCGTTCAGCCGTTTAGGCTACAAACCCTAACAAACATACGTCCATCCATCTAAACTTTCGCATTTATAATATTAGTATGAACGCCAAATATAGTTTGACATTATTTTGCTTTTATGGAGTCACTGTATAAATTGTTTTTATATCAAAAAAGTCTCAACCTTGTAAAAATGTCCGTTAAATAGTGGTATCAAGTGATTGTATGTTAACAAAATATCTATTTTTGTATCGACCTTGTAGATGCTTAAGCTACCTGAAGTATCTAAGTAATGTGACTTTTGTTTCTGAATTACCCCCGCTACAGATAAAAATTAAAAACTTACATGTATACGGTTTCACAACGTGGAAAATACGACTTTACCTTTATTTGTTTAATTTTTTACTTTCAGAACACTTCATTATTTTTAAGTATATACTTTCTGGATAAAGTAGCTGATGTGTTAGCAAGCAGCAAGTAACTTGAGTATTTTATAAATATAATACGAGATTATTTATCTAATAGCATTAGTAATTAAAACGCAGACTTTTTTAATAAAAAAATAAAAATTAATAGCAAAAAAAAAATCGATATTAATTCAGATATTCGTTTACTATGAATCCTTTGCTATGCATAAATATAACAAAATAAAATAACGTCGTAAATCTTTATGTATGCAGCACGAATTGATATTTTTATTATGATGCAACGACTTAAATTCTGCTTCGAACTCGAAAGGCTTCTAGTTACATCGTATTGTACAAGCTGTTCTCATTTGAAGTAGCAATTATAGGTATGACGGAAATTCTTTAAAACTTAACCACATAAAAATAATCATTAGGTAACTAATCAGAATTAAAATGCGAAATCCGTTTGCTCTACAAAAAAATCCTAAGTAAAAACTACTTAATTTGATTGAACGAAACTTATCAGATGATTATATTTTAAAAATAAAAATAAATTACACGATACGATGTGTTTAAAAAAAAACATGAATAAGTAAAAACTACATTAATTTTGATTGTTGTACATAACTTATCAGATAATTGTACGTAGTTTGTGAATAAAAAATATGAAACTAGTTGTATTAATCTATAGTTTTTATATTTCATAACAAAGTATGTACAGCAATAGGAAGCTAATTGAATAAGAAGCATATTATGTAATTATTACTTTGGAGTTGGTTATCATTATTCAAAGAACATGACAAAGAGGACGCAAGCTGACACGTGTAAGGTTAAAGTCCTACTCAGACATTATTGTAGTGTTTGTATAATAAATAAATACATTTAATATTGATGTTCAAATAACTAGCTTGAAGGTTAGAATGACTTTGTTGCCCAGAAAAACACCTAGCTTTATTTTTCTAGATATAACGTGGATAATGTCCGTTTACACTTTGCCAGTACAGTTGGACAGTTGCAACGGCCAGTCATAGATTGCACGGAGTCATTGACGGCAGTTACCGTTCACACTGTGCAAGTTAATTGTCAGTCTACTGACTGCTACTGACCAACTGTACTGACATAGTGTGAACCGCGCATAACTTTGAAATATGTTCTTGTCCGACTAACGGAAAGCTATTTTTTTCGAGGGTATGTCTAAAAGTCTGTCTGTACGGATTTGTATATCGGCTCCAGGTTTCGGGAAAAACGTCCATTTGGTAAGACTGCAAGCTGTCGTAACATAGTGTCCATTGGGGAATGCAAATACTTGAAGCCTTACCGACTAATCGAAGATTTCATCAATCGATCGATCGATGCTTCTTTCTTAGTAGAGTTAGCCTATGTTTAGCTACCGCAAAAAGATAGTGCAATAAAAAAGCGAAAAGTAGGTTAGTCCATTCTATAATAACTATTATAAATCTGTTTTGATAATTAAATAAAATGCATCTTGCAAATGAAGACTCTTGTAAAGAAATATGCCAGCAGACACAATAGAAAATAATATGTATACCAAATAAACCTAACTTAATAATTTGAACAAAAGTTAGTTTCAAGTTTAACAATTAATTTTATACTTGCCATATCATAATTATATAATAGTTTGAGTTATTACCGTTTTTTAATTAAAGTAATTCAAATATAAATTCAAATATTTTGATTTACAGCATTATTCTAACAAAAAACCTACTTAGTTATGGAAATTTTCTTTATTAAATTAAAATAGTTATATCGCACAGTTGTTGAGCGAATGTCGATTGTTTAGCAGTCAATTCAACTGTTTAGTTGCACAACTAAAATAGTGTGCGCACCTTTATATAAGCTCATATGAATCAAAGCGCGACTAAAAAGTTGTGCGATAGTTTAGTTAAATCTAGTCATAAAAGCAACGTCAAGTTTCACGCATGACTAAGTGTTTGTCAAGCCGTACGCATGGCTATATAGCGTTTTAGGAACAGAGGGACAGTAGTTGACCAATTTACAATAATTACGAATCTCACTCATGTTATAAATGCGAAAGTTTAAATGGATGGATGGATGGATGTTTGCTAGAGTTTGTAACCTAAACGGCTTAGTTGAAATTTGGTACAGATGTAGAGGAAAGTCTGGAATCTGGAAGAACACATAGGCTACTTGCTTTTGTTTTGTTGTTAATTTCACGCGAACGGAGTCGCGGGCGAAAGTTACGTAGTTCCGGACGCATTTCATGAAATTCTTGAACCAAAAACACTAACGAATGGTTAAAAGTAGCTGGGAAATTGGCCATAAGACAGTATCTACCTGATATATGTATGTCAAACGTACTCAATTATTTTACTTTTTGGATAGTCATAAAGTTATAAGGAAAAACAGTATCTTAAATTTTTTACAAAAAAAAAATAGGAACGTAATTTAAATTTATATTTTGTTCTGTTTGAGAAGGACAATTTTACAGTAAATCTTTTACCGTAGAGGTCAAGGTGAACAAGTTGAAAAAGTATGCACAAATATTATTTACTTACTGATGATTACGTATTGCGGTCATGTATAATTTGTAAATGCCACTACAAGTTAATAATAACATTACACATCATTACTTATGTGTTCTTGGTGAGCTTATGAAATACATAAAATTTTAATTTAAGCATTATAAACAAAGGGGAATCAAAAATATTCGTGAGAATCTTTTCGTAACGTAATGGATAAAAGTATTAGATATGTTCAGCGTCCTGATCGGACATAAACATGTATATACAAAATATGTCATACATTTTTTTCGATTACGTTACGAATATGTTCTCGCAACTGTCACGCAAATATTCAAGATAGGTGTCAGAGATGATAATAATAAATACGTTACAAGGCAGAGATGTAGAAAGTTATTGTCAGTTCCTTGCGCTACATTTTAGTGCTTTCGAGGTGGCAACTATGAAACAAAAGAATTTCCTCTAACACGTTTCACTTCGTCATGAAAATGCCATAGTCAAGTGGTCATCTTTTTAATTTTTTATACCACTTAATTTTTATTAATAGTTTTACCTCTTCTCTAAGTAATAATTACGAAGCGTTTACATGTTATCCTTTAAATTACATCACGATGCTTTAATTGTGAGACAGACCGGATTTGTTATCAATTTAGAAACAGCTTAATCATGCGACAACCGGTTATCTAACGAGTTACACGTAACGTTTAACTATTACCTTAACATAGCTTTATGTTAATTGATGAGACGTAAATTTCCGTCTGATGCAGTATTAGATATTTAAGTCAAACCGTCTTCCAAAATGCAACATTTCAAAATGATTTTGACATTTTACTAGTTTTGTGCTTTTCCTTTGTTTTTTTGTTTTAATAAAAAAATATCCAAATAGACAAATACTCATCAACAAATGAAGAAAAAAAAACTTTGAATTTTATATCCCCCTGCATTCATTAAATGAGAGAATCCTTCAAATTTACTGTTTGTATGTCTTTAAATGGTAAAATAACGAGTGACATAGTTAGCGAAGAATTAATAGGGGAAACAATAATTCAGTTGTTATCCTCAAGTTGACAAAATAAAATAAAATAAGTTATGTTTACTTTGTTTACTTTAAGTTAATGTTACGTATAATGTTTATTACTTCGGTGTTATTAAGTTTACGACTATGGCCCAGAACTGCGGTAGAGTACAAAATAACAGGAAATCAGACAAGCGGGAAATAAAAAATAAACTTGACACATAACGTATGCTTAAATATGTTGTCCTTTTTATGTGCGTCTCCTCCTTCGTCGATTAAGGGTAGGCATCGTATCCGCTACTGCGAATGTCTATGGGCAGCGGTCGCTTCGTCATTTTGGCGGATTCAGGTGGCCGCTTGCTCGTTTGCCACCTTGTAATATAAAAACATCTATATCTATAAGTAAATATGACAAACATCATTACTGAAATTCAACATTAACTTAGATAGCAAACTTAAACTAACTTAACTTAACTTAACTTTAATTGTAATCAGGTTTTCTTTGTAAACTAAATGTTTTCTAACGTTACTACTACACGTAAGAATGCTCACTTTGCAAGATAAATTAGCATTTAACTAGTACAATAGAATACTTAGTAGTTAACTTATTACAACGATTGCGTCCCAGACTATCATTTTTTATGTTTTGTTTGCATTTCGCAATGCAAACCAATCATGAGTGAACATTTTGTTCTAGATAACTAGTCAAGGTGAGTATAGCTATATGCATGCAAAAGTCATCTTGCCTCATAAAGTAAAAGTAAGTCTTCTGCGATGATATTTAGATGACATTTTATGGTATGTTATTTTTGGACAGCATAATATATAAATTAGCAGATTATTCACTTAAACCAGTTTAGACTATTGTATTATTTAGAACTAGCGGTAGTTACCGGTACCGGGACGCACTGATCGATGTACTTTTTTTATTTGATACTAGCTGTTTCCGTGCGGCTTCATCCGCATGAAATAATGAAAATTGTTTTATTGATTACATTTGTCAAATACAATTGCAAATGTTAAAATGACAGACATGACATGATGACAAAGCATGGCAATTTTGCTTCCTTGATGTTGGCAGCAACTTTGGTCACTATACACACACACCCATATTAGAGTTTTTATCCAAAAATCCCTAAGTTTAATGGCGTGAAAATATATAGCCTAAAGCGTCACGTAAGTGTAGGGCTTTTTATTAAAAAAAAGATTAGTCAAAAATATGCTGTAATTGCTGACATCTTAGGCAACAAAGAAGTGTGTAACTATTTACGCTTTATTATAATAGTTAATATAATTTCCATAACAATATTAAAGATGAATATAGTTTGTGTTACCTAATATTAATGTCACTTTGTAGTAGTATAAGAATTTTTCAAATGAGACAAGTGTTTGTTGAGGTTTTTCATTAAATACAAAATAAAAATCCTCTTTATAATGTTAATATAGTTAGATTTAGGTAAATAAGGTAAACATCACAGTAAGACTAACTTGTTTACAGTAACGTGTCATTTATATCGACTACCGACATAAATATAAATACTTCGTTGTAAAAAAATGATTGTCTACATATTTTATTTTGTGAATTCTGGTCTAGAGCATGTCTGGCAAGAAACCAGTTTTTATGAATGTAACTACATTTACCCTGGGCATCGCGAACCGATGTGGCTAGGTCTTCGGCGGCCACTACTATTAATATGGTCTTATTCAAACAATCTTAATATTGGTATTTCGATTTTCCATTCCGTAGGAGTAGGAAAGAAACACGACAGGGATCGAACCCGGAGCTCTAAATTACAAGTCTAGGACTTTACCAATGCGCCATATACCATATATCATGTCTTAAAGACTAACAAACTTTAAACTTAAATTTTCAGAAGGACCTGAGCGTGTAATAGCAAGCCTAGTAGAAATTCAACCCTGCAAAAAATTGCCGTGCAAATTAAAGAAGGGAACAGAGCAGTTCATCACCATTGAGTTTACACCAGGTAAATTTGTCTATTAACTTACAACCTTAAAAAAAGTATAAGTAAACTAGTAAATTTTAAGCAGTAAACCATAATTATATCAAAAAATTATGCAAAATGGCAGTTCCCTGGCGAAGTCACGTAACTTTTTGCTATCATGTCCTGACTTCGAGCATTTGTCCTTCTTATTTGCGTAATAAATTGTAATAGAAATAATTAATGTAATATAAATAGTTTCCTGTAAGACGACTGCGCGACGGCTTCTATATATTTTAATCATCAGAAACTGACAACTACGATGGTAAATAATAGCATACTCAAACAGGTTTGCATTTAATGTTCTATGTAAACGTGAATGGAGTATATCGAAAGAAAGTTACATTACTACGTACATAAATTTTTGTGACATTTGTCGATCCGTAAACAAATACATTTATACTTATAGCGTAGAATTTTTAGTGACAAAACACTCATATAACATATCTTCTGATGACTTCTGCTCCTTAAAATAACTGATATTGAACCATAGCTTTCTAAAAGCGATTCATCATCTCGAAATTGAAAAATACCCCAAATTACTTTCGCACACGTCGGTTACTTTCTAGTAAAAGATATGTAAAAATCGTCCATGTCCCAAAGTAAAGCGAGGCGAAAAGACCTCTGAACGTTTTATACATTTATTCAGTGTTGCCATTTACAAGACAAAATTTCGAATATCGACTTTCGTTAAGACGACAAACTTGTATAAAACACTCCATCTATCTTACTTATGTTATTAATGCGAAAGTTTAGATGGATGGATTGACGTTAGGAACGGCTCAACGGATCTTGATGTTTGGCACAAATGTAAAACATAGTTTGGAAGAACACATAGGCTACTTACTACATATTTTTTTTTAATTTCGTGCAGATTGAGTTGCGGAGAGAAGCTAATGTCTTTGTATGGGTATTTCGTCAATGGAAACTGAACCATGTTTAAAAATCGCACTAAAATGTCCACATGTATATTTTTGATATGTTTCCCCTAACAAGTAAATAGTTTAACATGAATGGTTGTCGAATGTGTGACGAGAATTTTAATGCTGTTATGCACAGAATTCGTATGCCTTTGGAATAAATAAAACTATATAACAAAGGTTCAAGTTGAGACAATATCATGATACAAGGTTATAAATCTAACGTAATCACGAAATAATTTCATTTGTTCTTCGATTAATACTTACCTCACTCAAAACCTATTTCGACAATAAATAAAACTTAACAAAGGCATACGAATAATGATCCATTATAAGCATGCATTGTTAATTTAGTTTGCGTAAACGTTACTAATTTCTTTAAACAATAATCGTAATAAAAATCTATTATCTATGCATTAATTTAAATTTTTTTATAAAAAACATACTTTTACGTCTTGTTTGTACTGTAATTTTTTGAGGAATGTTTGATAAGAAAACTTCTAAAAACAATATAATTAGAATTATTTATTTTTCTCTTTCCAGATACCGACTTCCACGATATAATTAACAAAGTATCGGCTCATGTTTTTGGTGTGAACGTGCCTTTCATCGGAGTTGACGGTATCTCTATATGTAATAAAGTGTTTACGGAAAGTGATGAGAAAGCGGCTTGTCCACTTAAAGCTGGCAAGAAGTATATCTATAAGGATTCTTTCCCCATCCTGAGCTTCTATCCCACGATAGCTGTTCAGGTTCGCTGGGCATTACAATCCAAAAACAAGGAGTTTATCTGTTTCGAAGTTCCAGCGAAAATTGTTCAATAGTATACAATTTTTTAGAAGCTAGAAGTTCGAAATGTGCTATAAATACTATAAGATTTCTATTTTGTACTAAGTTAGTTTTAATTCGGGTTATCGACTTAATTAGTTATGAATTTTAGGTATTGATAAATGACTGGAAAAGTGATTATAATTAAAAGAATCTCAATAGTACATCCATTTACATTAAATATTTTGTCTATATTTAACTTTTAAGGTTCGCAATTAAAATAAAATTAATTTTTGTTACAAGTATAGGGAGAATTTGTATTAAAAAAGGATGAATAAAAAGATTTTTTACAATTACACCTTTTTAATTCTATGACAATAGTGTTATATACGTTAAAATATCGATTAAAATAGTTTGTTCCAGGATTAAAATTTATTTAGGTCTGGCGGCTGTAATGACAGCGGGTACTTCGAAGCAGATGACGTTGTGTTGGTCATCTTTTAGCGCCCAGTGCACGCGTAACTTAACTGTGGGATAAAAGGCCTCAATGGGAAAGACATTGGTGTAGACGTATTCTTCCCCGGCGGCGAGGGGGCAGGGCGCGGGGGTGCCGTCGACCCGCGTCACTTGCGGGCACGCGCTCACGCCAGTCACCCCGAGGAACGGCAGGGGTATGTTCCCAATATTCGCGTAAACCTCGTTCACGAGCGTTTTCACCTCATGTTCTGAAATGACAA